TATTCAGTAGTCTTATTATGAGTTTGCATCGAAGTTTTATATAATACTAGTTATTAAATTCCTCTATGTAGGTGTAATGTTATACTTTGCATAAATGCCTTTGAGCTTCTATTCAAAATGATGCAACTGAAGATTACAAATATACTAATTCAACTAATTGACAAAGACAGTTACTATAATACAGACTTATTTTTTTAAAATTTATTGTTCATAGAATTTGAACTCTTGATCTGCTACTTGAAGGTTAATAATCTGACCACTTTACTAGATCATTATATCCTCTAATTTAAGATTTATTAATAGTATATTTAGTTAATAATTATATTAAAACTACAGAAAACAATTATAAAAAAAATATATAACTAACTATTTATATAACTTTAATTATTATCTAATTTAAATAGTCTATCTAAAAGTTCTACAATAGTTGCTATATTTGAAACTTGCTTGTAAGTTTTGTATTTAAACATTTTAGTTCTTGTATCTATATATTTACCTATATCTATTAATGATTTTGGTTAATATTAATAAAAATATATTATGATTACTAAATTTTTAAAGCAATTTACTTATATAAAGAATCTTTAATCTTATATTAAATTTTTTAAAATTTTTTATATTTTATTCTTATAACTAATTTAGTAATATTATGACTAAAACCAACACTTATAATTAGAACTTATTATTAAACTACTATGTTTTTGTAAAGTTTGCTTTAACTTTAGTACTTACTTTACAGCATATTTTTATTACTTTAATATTTAATTTAAGTTTTATCAAACTTTTATTTTAGATAACTCAAAAAGATAAATACAACTATATCTTTGATTTATATATTTTCTCACATATAACTTTTTCTTTTAAAAGGTATTAATAATTTGATTAGTTACAATAATCTTTTTTCAAAAACCAATATATTATTTAACTTTACAAGTTTTAACTTTATTTCTTAAGTCTAGTCTTTACAGTAATACTATTAAAAGTTTAAACTATTTTTTTATTAAAGTCTTTTAAATAGATTTTCATCTTTCTGATTTTTATAATTTATATAATTATGAGAACTTAGTTTTGTTTTTTTGTATAACAGTATGTTGTATAAATACTATGTAATCTTTTAGTTATGCTGATATAACACAGATAACAGATATTTTATCTTAATTAATAGTAAAAGACAGTTAACTATTATACAAAAAAAATTTCAAATTTTTGTTAACACTGGAATTTAAACTTTAGACCTGCCATTTAGAAGGTGACAACATAATTCCTTTACTATGTTGCCATGCCTCTAAGCAAAAATAATTATAAAATTATAAATCTAAGTTAGAATTATTATAAGCCTAAATTAAAGTTATTATAAAGTTAAGTTAAAATAAATTTATAAGTTAACTTTTCTAACCAATAATGCCTAAAATTTTTTTTATTAAATTTATTACAACTATATATTATATTTATTATAACAAAATTACAATTTTAAAATAAAAGGTTGCAATTTTCTAACTTTACTAACCTATTATAGCAAGTAATTTTAAATAAATTTGTAACAAATAATTATGCACTTTAGTTTTATTGTATATAAACAAAAATATAATAATACTAATTTTAATTTAACCTTTTATATTAATATTAAACTACATATAGTATTGATAAATTTGGTAAATTGGTATCTAAGCTGCTCCGATTGATAATTAGAATATAAAAACAATATTTATATTAATTGGATGCTTTGTATAATCAACTATGGATATAAGAGTTTGGGCTGGACAAAAACTCCAATATGTAGAATAGTTACTAATCCGTATACTGTAGAAAAACTTTGTCGAAAAAAATTAATTACTGTATAATAGGTTTAAATTGTAACTGTTGAAACTTTTATGTAATTATCAATAATAGGTTTCTAGTTTAACCTTGAATCATTGTATTAAAATTATATATGCTTATTATCCGACGCACAGAAAAAACCCTTGCTTCGGTGTTGATTTTTTTACGTATACATGTACATACATTCGTAATCAAGCTATTAAGAAGTATGATAGTAGTATGTAAGGAAAATACGAATTCTTTACAATACTTACAATAGGTAAACCATTTTTTCATATTTGTTATTTCACATTCTTTATATAATTCATTTAATACAAATCATAAGTTATTATGTAATGGCATGCAAAAGTTAATAAATAATATATATACAGTATATATACAGAAGATATTTATATACATCTAAGTCATATGAGTTAAATTATTTTACTTTCATTAATACTATATTTGATAAAGTATGAATGCTTTATACACATGTTTAAACACCAGTTCCTGAAGTATCCATACCTGCAGATTGTTTGATAATGAATAAATGTTATATTTTTACCCTTCTCCGATTAAATAATGATAATCAAGCTGATCAAGATTTAAAATTATAAATTATGCACGAAGAATAATTTTAAGAACGGACTTAACCCTGAAAAATCCGATTAATGAATATAATTATTCATTGTATATGTTGGAGACCGTTAGGTTATTAACTTAAAATTTAGATTTCACTTGATAGCTTTCATATATGGTCATAGAATAAGAGCTTAATAGTTAGTTGCATGAAATAAGTCATAGAAATGAGTTTAATACGTATTAGAGTGAAGAAATTAGAAACTTAAAGCATATATACTAATGTTTTCAAAGCTGTTTACAATTAAGGATGGATGAAGAATAATATTATATTGATAAAATAAATATTAATGAAAAAACTTAACAATAGTAGTGCATGCAGCATGCATATTTGACAATTCTGCAAAAAGTTAGTGGATTATTTAGAGGTTTAAATGCAAACGAAAAGATGAGACAATAGATTTGTTTTAATTGATTGAAGATTGAATACAAATATGGTTGTAAATCTTTCTTTTCATAATTTGCGTCATGAAAGTATCAATATTCCAAGATGCTTGCTTGATGAAGAACAAGAACTGATCATTAGCTGAAATTGTGAAATGCAGGAATAAAAGAAACTGTTTAACATCATTTCAACTTCCGTACACGAAACAAACTCAGCAAAATTATAGTCATCGTGCACTGAATTGTGAATTATATTCTCGTCATCTCTACATATGCGCTATTATAAATGATCATCAGAAAATATGATAAAAGAATAGTGTGATTAACCTATTACTTTGTTTCAAATCATTCATTTTTATCAATTTATGGTGCCAATCAACTAAAGAAACTAAAATTGTAACTCCTCAATGAATTAAAGAAATGCATTACTTTATAATCCTGGATAAGAACTATAATGCTTTTTCATATTCTTCGAGGAGGTGCCACCATACTAATAACGATAATCGACAAGATACTATCTGCTATGTTGATTTATGTGTTCCCTTAACTCCTTAAATTAATTTTAAAGTAGAAAGTGGCGCAGATTCAGTACGACCATATTTTAGCATTGCACACCAAAGCTTTGGGATCGCTTACCCATTTGTGGTTGCGGAGAAGTACGCACGTACGTACATACTTGGGTACTCAAGATACACAAAATTTAATCTTGAATGTATCTCATATACTGTATATGACACGCAGCATGGATACATCGCATCCGCAGCATTTAATGGAGAAAATAAGGTAAGTTACACGGAAAAATAACAAGTGGATGGTGCACAAAATTTAGAGAAAAAACCTTTGCCAAAGGTGAACTTGAGTAAGTTGAACTATGGAAAATTTTGGAGAAGAAAAGTTTAAATGCGATAGTATATAGTCCCTATGTCGATAGACAGTCAGAGGATATTCCAGAATGGCTATTTATAGGATACTATTGTTGTCTATAAATTTCCGATTTAAACTATACGTTTAAGATGAAAAGAGATATCGTTATAGATATCGTTATAGATATCGTTATAGCTTGGTAACATAAAGGAAGCAGGATCAATATTTGGACACAAACAAGAAATTTGTTTCTAAATATGATAACATTGACATTGTTTGACAATCTTGCTTTAGTCTACGTTTTAAAAGGTATCAAACATAAGCGGAAAAAAAGAAATAAATATGCATAAAATCATAATTTATGAGAATCGGAAATAATAACAATGCATGGGTGCATTGATGAATCCGAGAAGTAATTTAATATAGTAGTTTATCTTTGAAAAAATTGTGCAATTTTTTAATTGATAAGACAAAAAATAATTCGAAAATACTTATATAGCATATGAAAATGCTAAGTGATCGAACAGACTTTTCGATCAGTCTTTAGATATAAATAAATGATAAAGATATTAATCATACAACTTTATGTTAAATACAGTCTTTTGATGTTGTAATATAAACTTATCAAAAATGAAAATCAAAAATGAAACCCGATAAGCTTTAAAAAAAAAAAAACTCCGTGCCTTCCATTCTGTACTATATCATAAACCTTTTTTAAAAAATTTTGTACTCTATCGGTATCGGTATTAAGATTTCATATTTGAATAAAATAATAGAATAAAATAATACTGCACTTAACCAAAAAAGTACAATTTTTTATTGTTTGCTGCGCATTTTTGACGGGTTTGACCTTATGACCTATAAACAAAAAGTCACGTATAAATAAATAAAATAAACCTTCTATATATTTTTTATATGGTTTATATACTTAGTTAAAACTATATACTTATGTGTTAGTATGTTAAATTAAATCTGTTATTACAGTATTAGCTATTGAATCAACTGTCGAATCAGTATTGGTGTATTAAATCTACATGACACCATGTAAACCATATAAAAAACCATTACATCAAATTTGTTGATTTTGATTTGATATAAACCCAGTGAATTTCGCTCCCCCAAAAAAATTCACGAAAATTTCAAATTCCTTTTTTTTTTTTTTTTTTTTCTATGATTCACCGCTTGTGATTACATCAACTTCTCAAATTCTTCTTTCTGAATTTTCTTTCCTTTCAATTCTATAATTCACGACAAATTTTGACAAAAACCGAGTCGAAGCTAGGATTAATTGAAGGTTTTTTTAAAATCCTAAAATAATGTCTCAAGGTATTTATCAATTAATTTTAATTTTAATTCAATTTCAGTCTCTTGAAAGTTAGTTTAAAATTTTCTTTATTTTTTTTTATAAAACTTGGAGAATATCAACAACATTCTTTTCCACCAACTTTTCAAAGTGAACGTTCGTGGAGTATGCTCGCCAATGACTTTGATGATGATAAATTACAGCATTATTATCCTTCTCAAGCTTCCGATAGGTCATGGAGCGTGCTTGGTTCGCAGGATATTAGCGATCGACACCATGGTTTAAGTACCTACGGTTACGTTGCTGATGATATTAATTCAGCGAAAACATCAAACATTCAAGACTATATTAATAATGAGCAGCAACAACAACAACATTCGGTTGAAAAGACTCAACCAGTTCCTGCATCATTTCCTGAACCGGAATTCGTTCCCTCGATTACTTCATCAACTAAAGATTTTTTGTATGAAACATTTAAATACGAAAGAAAAAATGATAATGAGATTACTGGTCGCCCTAGTGAATACATCGATAACGACGATTGTCCTCCACCGCCATCGAATTTGGATCAATCTATTCTTAATAGTCAGATTACTATTACCCAATCCCAAACCGAAGGTAATTCTTGGGGAATTGGTTATCTTCCAAGTAAGTCTTTATTGTGGTATTTATATTTCCTTTTTTATCTTTTATTAAACTCCGATTTTTTTTTATAGTCATAGTATTAGTGGTTGCTGTCCTCTACTATGTCGGAGTTAACATGGCTGAATTTGAAATAGAAGATCTCCTTCATTATTTAAATTGGCAAGTTGGCCAATAGTGTAAAATTAGCGTTCTTTCCATCATTTACATGATTTACAAGTTTTATTTTTGTTGATTTTTTTTTTTGTTTTAGTTATTTTATTTTACCATCACATTTACATTTACATGCAACTTTCACAATTTATCATGTTGATTTAGGAAAGACGTGTTAGGAAGTGTGGTGGGTTTATTCAACTTTCATGTAAAATTATTTACTTTGTTTTTTTTTTTTGAACTGGTGAACAGGTAGATAGATATCCTTTCATGAAAGTAGACGACGTTCACGTAATTCGTATATATATATTTTTTCCTTCCTTGAATGCCTTTGTAAATTTCTCTCGTTTTTTTTTTTTGTTTCAAAAAATTGCTTTTTCAACGATACAAAGTTCATGTTGTTTAATATCATTTAACATGTGATTATTTTTGGCAGTAAAAAAATCTGGTTTATTTTTTTACTGTTTGATATAATGTTTAAACAAGAATATACAGAAATGGTATTCGAAATTAGTATTCAACATAGCATTCAAAAAAAAAAAGAGCATTCAAAGAGAGTATTCAAAGAGAGCATTCAAAAATAGTATTATTTACTTTAAAATATAACGATAGTGCATAGTGCTTCGTTTTTCTTTTTTCATCGGGTTCCCATATATTTTTACACATCATGTTTTACGGAATCTTGTTCATAGTATTTATTATTATACGATATTTTAAACACATAAATAATAAAACCTATGACTCAAAAAAAAGATTTACAACCTTTAAAAATTTGGTTTTTATTTATCTATGATGTAATTTCAAGCTTAAATTCTTAATTAGTAGTACCAGATTGCCATCATAACAGATAAACAATTTTAATTTCACTCATATGATCAATTATGACCATTAATGTCACGAGTTCAAGAGCTACGAATATTCCAAAATATGGTCGCTTTCGCGACGATATCAGATGATTGATCCTTGAGAATAGTTTCACATTCTTTAGTTCCAATCAACTCTTCAGGATTAAAAGTACTAGTACCTGTAATTATTCCTATATTATATATATATATTAAATTAACTTCTTCCTTTGATAAATAAAAAATAATTGATATTATCATTCACCTCTTGCTTTTTTATGATACTGTTATTGTAAAAAGATGAATTGATTAATAATAATACAGTAATAATAATATACTATATAATAAATATAAAGAAAAATTGTACCTCCATATTAATTCTTGTAACAATAGCTCTATGCTTTCTTGTTAATTTAGTAAGTACAGCAAGTCCCCCAATCGTCTCGGCGAACGTGCAAAGAGCTGCCGCGTGAATACTATTGAATGGGTTATGTATTTTTCTTTGTTCCTATTGAATAGATTTCATTTCTTTTTGTAAATTATTATTATTATTATTCGAGTGTTTAAAACAGTATCAACCTTTAAGACTCCCGAACATGATCCTTCTTCTAAACTTGTAATACGCATATCTTATTCAAAGTATTTACATAGATAAATAGAGACAATTTATTTTTATTTTTTATATAAATTATACATGGTTCTATCACATTATTACCAAACCTTAATTTGAGTAAATAATTAATTAAAATTTACAAATGCATTTAACAAACGGATTTTTAAATTCAAGCAAATATGAATAAATCAAAGGGCGAAAATGACGTATGATTGGTTTGTTCAATTCTTTCCAAGCTTGAAGTGGATCGCGAAACATTTTCGTTTTATTAGCTAAAAATGTAAATACTTCTGTGAATATTACTATACTAATGACGATGAACGTGACGGTAGGTAGATTTGTTATTCCGGTATAAATAATTGTATTCGTTTATTAAAAATAAAATAGTATCGGTATGACAATAGTAAGTGTTAACGTTATTTCATCTTTATTAGAGATTCGGAATGTTGTGTTGCCAATATTTCATTCGATCATGGTGATACTAGAGATGTAGCACACTATGTACTATGATAATACAGACATTTGCCATAAGTGCCATATCAGTCGGTTCAGATGTCGCATGTAAAATTTTTAATAGTAAATCAAATGATTGACGCATCCAAATTTTATAAGCAAAAATTGCTTTCTAGGCACATTTAACAATAAAAGAGTTGTTAGTCTAATTTCTAAATAACATTTCACAAATTCTCTAGCGTGTTAAGGTTTTTTTATAAAATTGCAAAAGTAGTTAAAAATACGTTCCAAAAGAACCTTGATTACAGAGTTAGCCAATTTTTAATGATTTTATTATTTGAAAAAATACAGGCAAATTGTTTTTAGTAAATTTTTTTTTATTTTAATTTTATAATTAAAATTAAAAAATTTTAACAAGGTTGGTTTAATAATTGTTAAAATAGAGAACGTTGCTATTTACCGCCGGTGGCGATATCTCTGTTCACGTGATCATACAACTATTAAATCAAACTCTAAATTATTCTATACGCAACATTGTTTTAATATATGTTTACTCTATTTATATCGAACATCTTAATATAACAATATCTGATAGTTTTTAGAATTTCAAACCTACAGTGGCCTAGCATATTATTGTGGACACTTTTTAAAAATTTATAACAAGTTAGCTAAAAAAGATATTAAACTAAAAATTATATAATAAACTTATTAAATCTAAAACTTTTAAATAAAAAAAAATTATAAAATTCTATGCAATATTTTTTGAGATAATTAAGGTTGTACAAAATTGTGTAATGTTACACAAAACCGAAAATAGCAATTTTTAATATATTTTTTATTAATAATAAATATTTAAAATTAAATTATTAAAAATTTTATTAATTAA